TTTTTTTTTTTTTTTTTTTTGGGGGGGGGCGGAAGTTGGTGGGTTGGGGATTGAAATATTTAATCATAAATTTTTCAGCTCACTGATGTTTACACTAGCACCAAAAATAATCAGGAGAAAATGATCTGAATTTAAAATCTAGTTTGTGAAAGACTTGATTGGTGCCAGATGTCTTAGGAAAAAGGCAATTTGATGTAGGAACCATTTGATCCTACAAATACAACTTTCGAGATGTACTAGAAAATTGTGCAGTTCATGCCACAATTTTCATCCTATCGTTAAAGAAAAAGCAGCGAATGGAGGCAAATCAGTCCATGGATGTTTTTGATGACTCGGTACAAAATAATTGTCCATGTTAATTTACTTCAAGTTAAGGATAGTGCTTCTTGACTTAAGAAATAATAGATAAAACATGCAACTACTGCAAGACAGAAAATTTCTTGAGGGACTATGAAGGAAAAAATCTCACCTGGCTCAAAATTTAGGCTAGTTCTGATTGCCCTATTCACCTCATCCGCTAAAATAAGAAGCCGTGATCTAACCAAGAGGTCTTTTTCAGGGGAAAGGAAAGGATCATGGGAGATAAACAGAAGTTTTGTCCTCTCCACTTCTTCCCAAAGCTCTGGCTGCAGAACAGTTAAACTAGTTAGAATGCAGAGAATACTTGGAATACAACCTATAACCTCAATAAGAGTGTGATGCAGTGGCTGATGCTTGTTTCTTTCTGGAGAAAACATAGAAGTAGATCAATACCAAGACACCAAATTCTTGGACCAAGCCAAAAAGTAAACTAACAGGCAATTTGTAATCCACATTCTATGATTTTGTCTCCTACCATGCAGATTAAAATGATGCACCCGTTTCCAAAAGGAATACACTGTGATGCAAGCATGAGAGGTATATTACCATTATCTCTGCCCATGATAAAAATGATTCAATCTCAAGTTTCGCATCTTCTAAGTGTCCAGTGAGAATTGATTCTATTAATCTCTGCTGTTCCAAACAGAAAAAAAGTACACGATTTGACAGGAGCATCTGCATAAAGAATTATAGTACGAAGTGATTAGAGAGGTCAAGAACACAGTAGGGATGATTTTCCCAAGTTCATATGTAAGGCCTGTAGGTGAAGAATATACACAAAGCATAAAGTGAAGTGACCCTTAAATGATCAAGATAACTTATTAATAGTACCGCGTATGGAAACTAATTTCAGAAATAAGACCATTTGACACTGTGCATTGTTTTACTCTGCAATTATTGACATCCTCCTAGATACCCAAGTGCAGACACTTTGTTAGCAATAAAACATTGTATCAATGACCCTAATTGGCTACCTATGCCAAAAATTTAAATATGACAGTGACAATGTTGACTAAGGACTCTAGCTATATAGCTTTCCCTCCCAAAACCCTGAGAATTCATCTCTCGGGTAGTCAATAGAATGCCTGGACTGGCCCAATCCACCACAATAGACCTCAGCTACGGATCATGAACACACATTGAAATGGTAATAACAGAAAGAAAATCTATAAGCATCATGCCTATTAAGTTTCATTCCTAAAACAGAACATCCGAACATACATGCCATATGGATATGTACTTAAAAATAAAATAGGATTGACCCCAGATATTTAGAAAACAAAAATCTTCTAGGATACAATTCCGAACTATGTGAAGTATGCATGTGAAATTATATCGAACTTGGTCTTTAAGTCCCAAAAAACATGAAAGTCAAGCAATGCTATTTTGACCCTAATTGAGAGACCTAATACATTGCTACTATTGGATTGATAGTAGGTCCCAACATTAGAGGGAATTCACTGCCATTCCAATCATAGCAATCCAACTAGTATACGAACCGCTAGTAAAACTCCAACGCTTCTTACCTCTGGTCAGTGAGCCACAACAACAGGGCGTCCATTCAGATTATGACAGACATTCTCAATCACAAAACCAAAGTAATTAATGTCCAATGATAGTCCTAGAGTGACAGAAGGGACAGTTAGTTACCTTTTCATATTTTTTGATAAGAGTCCCAAAGGCTCGATTCATATCCCCACGTTCTATTTGCTTTACAACAACCCTCTTAGTTTCTATTGATGCAAGATCATCTATGCATGCTATGTTTTCAATAGGAAAAGCTTGTCATTTGAAAAGAATCAACTCTATGGGTAACTACAGCATAACAAAAGGAGGGGGGAAATCCAGTAAGAACAACACTCTTGGAAATGTGGCTTTTGGATACATTTAGTGCCTGATTCTCTTTGGAATTCTTGAGCAGCCGAAATCCATTCTTGTCCAACAAGGAAATCCATCACCATCTTATTCATATCTTCTTTCCAAATCTTAGTTTCGGCAAGTTTTTTCTCCCATTCTTGCATTGTTATCAACTTCTTTGGTGGACCCTGCACAGAGATGGACTATTATCATAAATTCAAATGTCCCTGTGTGCTCTGTACACACAAACGCGGATTTTTTTGTGTGTGTGTGAGGGAGAGATTAAAAATCAGATGCGAGAATGAATATTAGTAAGAAAAACTTGTACGCCATAGTCAAACCAACAGAAAATAACAAGAATTAAGAAATAATTATGTGTAACAACAAAAAAATTATTCAAATATAATCTACGGTGAAGATCTTGGTTATCAAGAATCACTTTTCAACACACGCTAGCTCTCGTTGCAAGACATACACGTGCATACTCACACATAACAAATTGTGACATTTTAGCAAGCGATCCAGAATATTTGATCTCTGAGAATAAAATCGAGATAAACCAAATTCAAAGAAGCTCTTATGTTTTTGTGCTTGAATCCTATCTTAAATTCACCAGAAGCAAAACGTACGAAGTTGAAAAAATCGAGGTGAAGAGAATCAAAACAGTACAGTACACGAATTGAAATCAATTTTGACAGAGCGTTGACATGAAAAACAAGAACCAAAAACCTTGCAAGACAATAATATATATCCTTGGACACGAATGTACAAAAAAAATACAGAGAGACAGACAGATATCAAATTTTCAAGATAAGCAAGCAATTTATCTTTTCAGGTGAAATTCCGGCAAAACGCACCGTGGAGTCCATCATTTTTCCGGCGAGTTCTTGAACAGAGATTTGGTTTTCTGGTTTTGGCGCGTTCAAAGGTTTTCTTCTCTATTTGGATTTTGATTTGATTGTCGGTTTAGTGACAATGGTTTAATATCAACCGCGGTTCGTTGGGTCCACGTCACGGTCTTGATATAATTTAATAATAAAACCACATATCAATTAGCACCAAATGGTCCCATGGTCTAGTGGTCAGGACATTGGACTCTGAATCCAGTAACCCGAGTTCAANCTGTTGGGTCCACGTCACGGTCTTGATATAATTTAATAATAAAACCACATATCAATTAGCACCAAACGGTCCCATGGTCTAGTGGTCAGGACATTGGACTCTGAATCCAGTAACCCGAGTTCAAGTCTCGGTGGGACCTCTTTTTTTGTTCTTTTTTTCCCCTTATTTTCAATAAATTTGCATATATCCAATATGCTAACCTAATTATTCATATCTAGTGGATTAACATTGAGTTTTAATATTTAATGGAATCTGTAATCAATAATGATGCTAGAAGGGTGTTTAAAACCCGAATCATATGATCTTGTCCATAACTGAAAGACAAACTTCAACTATCTTTTAGTACACTTTTTCTTAATTTCTATTTACAACGTATGAATCATCATAGATTCAAGTGAGACGTACTATATGTTAAAAAACCATTGAACACATTTGCAGCACAAACACACCGATGTTTTGTCCAAACCAAAATTGCAGAATTCCAGAAGGAAGTGAATATGCTTGGATAAAATTTATGCAAGATTCATGCCTTCTCAAACAAACATAGGACAGAATTAATCCAACGGCATATATAAACTTGTTGCCTAATTTTTACTTTGTCCAGACTATTACAAGAAGACAGAAGAAAACCCCTTTGATATTCATTTAGTATCTACACTATTGTACAAGTCCAAAGTCCCATTGTACATGAGCAAAGATGTTACCTAGCAGCCGATGATTTGAAAACTCGAAGAACCAAGTCTCTTAATTTACCCCCCAAAAAAATTGAGAAAAATTACAAATTTACAAATTCCAAGGAGAAAAAATGGCTACCCAATATGTATACCTCAACTTCCTATAAAATGGAAAACCTCGATCTTACTAGTAACCAGAGTAAAACAAGGAAGATGCCAAGCAATCAGGCTGGTATACAGAAAGAAGAGCTGAGAGCTGGAGGCAAGACACAGATCAGATGAGGTCCAGGAGGATTGCAACTTATATTTGCCTCGTCAACATTCGGCAAACCAAGTTGAGGAGGACGAACATATCCAGCAGCCAGAGGCACACACAATATTGAGATAACTATCCTTGAACCTGTCATAACACAATCATATCAGGATGAAACAAGAAAAACCAACTCGGACAGTTGCTGGTTGCTCAGAAGCTATTGGTTGTTATATACTTGAAGAAAACACAACGATGAAGCACTTACAGTATTCAACCAAAAAGAACAGAGAGAAGAAGAAATCAGAAAGTTGATGCGATTCAGATACCTTGCTTTGTGGAGAGTGGTACATGCCCCCTTTTCCTCCCGGCAATCATCCAGTTTTCAGAATTTGCATTTACTTCATACAATACCTCATCCTATTGCACCAGGGATACAAAAACATCATGAATCTTGCAGATACATGCATGATAATTCCTAAAAAGCTGCTACTAGCCTACATGAGACCGCAGAATTTCAGTATAAGTAATAATAAAATGTCTCGAGGTGAGTTTTGTTATTGTCAGCTGCTGGAGCTAGTGCTCAATAAATATAACAACTTTGAACTCTTAGGTTAAAAGCTCACTAACATCTTGCAAAGACTAGACTATTAATTACTCTTACATTATCAAGAATAACATATAACTCACTCCTATAGTCCTACCTGAGGGCATTTAACATAACATTGAAGCATTCATGACTTACTTTGCTTTCAGATGCCGTATTCTCCTCAAAATCTTTTAACCTTTCGAGTCTCCAGTTCATGGTAACAAGCTGCCCAACTCTGAGACCAGTTGAAGGAAGAGGAAGAAATCCAACTGCAAGACAAGGGTCCAGCACAGGCCGCTGTAGAACAATAGCACTACTGAAAATCAAATGCTTTGGAGTATCCTCGGGTCCACTGGGTTCCTCCACCAACGTGGGCATATGGGCTCCATGGGTTCTATCACCAGTGATTCCATATCTGATATGTAATATACTATCAGGAGGCATTGACTTGGCTTCATCTGTAAGACCAAGAGATGCATTCCTTGCTTGCTTAGTATCAGAATTTTTGAATATTCAGCAACTGGTATAACCATTAAAGCAAAAGAAAACTTTTATAGCTGTTGATGCATATTACTAGTTTGTTTCTACACAATATATCCAATCATTTGTAACACATTGTTTTCCAAGAAGTATTGAGAAAATTACAGTAAGGCTAGTCGTTTCTGTTGTCAATCTTCAAAGCTCCAACCAAATTAAACAATGAGGGAATTGAACCAATACACCAAATACATGAGCTAAATACAATATTCAATAAAAGCATTTACTCCCTGAAGTCATTTTCAGCAGATTGTGCTATCTCATCCCCACACTACTGGAGCCAACCTCCAGGAAAATTTGAAAAAAGGAATAAATTCAGAGATTTCATGTAAATCAAACTTGGTTTCAGGAAGCATTCAGAAACAAAAATATATATCACAATGACAAATTGTGCAAATCACTGCAAATCCATATAGGATGGACTTAAAAGAAATCCAAAGAGTGAACTAGCGACTCCAATTATCTAAACCCGATCCAAATTCATGCAATTGACCAGTAGAAACCAGATCATACAAGAAAAAAGTGTGCTATTCCAGGATGATGGTTTCTGAGGACAAAGCACCTCATTTTACAATACATGTTAATGACTTCTTTTTTTTTTTTTTTNGAAACCAGATCATACAAGAAAAAAGTGTGCTATTCCAGGATGATGGTTTCCGAGGACAAAGCACCTCATTTTACAATACATGTTAATGACTTCTTTTTTTTTTTTTTTTAAAAGTGAGTTTTAAAAATGGCGTCAATCAAATGTTCAACTGCTTGATGCACTATAATATAGGTCATGCTTAAGTTGGGGCCAATCCACCAAAAAGAGAGTCAACAAATACTAGCATTTGTTCTTTGATAAAAAATTAACAGACACTTGCACCTCAGCTAGGACTTGAACCCAGCACGTCGTCCTTTAGGATTAACACCCCTGGCGGTATCAAACTACACCATTTGACTCTGTACCAGCAAAACTGAGTGATAATGAATACCACCAGACTTTTAAAAGGTAAGAGATATACCTTCAACAATTGTAGCTCCCAGGCATATACTGAATAGGATTCCCGCTCTAGATGTGGGGGATACAACTATTGGAAAGAAGGACGAAATTGGTCTCCCATCACCTTGCCTTGCATGAACAAATCCAGCTTGAAGGTCCAGCCAAGCATCGTAGATTGTTAATGAAGCCTTAACTTGTGAGTGTAGTATCACCTGGAAGAAGCTTGGAAACGTAAATTGGAAAAGTAATTTGAAACTACCTCTCTTAGCTATGACCCCCAAAGCAAGGAATTATAAGATTAAAATCCATCATGTTGAAAAAGCAAGCTGAAATTATGCACAGGCTCCAGGGGCAGGCATAATTGAGACTGGCTATTTATGACCAAGTTCAAATTACCTAGTGAATCTAAAGAGCCTGCCTCAAAACTATAGTGTTTGGGCTAGCACCCCCAAATTGCAAGCCTAAATGAATTTTTAACTAGAATGGGAAGTGGAAGTACACGAATATGCAGTCATCATTATGGCATGTAAAGATGAATTATTCAGAAAACCAGAGGACAAAATACCTGCAAAAGCAATGTTCCATCATTGCATTTGTCTGTGACACGTGTGCTCACATGGAAAGGGTTGGTAAAATGTACAGCTAAGGTCCTGTGCATCAGTGTCAAGTGTTTCAGAGGATATTTTGAAAACAAATAAACTAGTAAACACAGATGAAGTGGAATCTGAAAGAAAAAGAAAATAAGATGAGTGTGCCTTTCAAAGGTCTGGTTGTGTGATACTCCAAATTCCAATTTCAAAGCTATTGTCCTCAATCCATCAACAACACTCTGTCTCTGGGGTATACCTGCCCCTGAAAGATATGGTAGAATATGTGTGTAAACAACTGGAACATGGAAAGCATACATACCATATACATATATACTTATGAAGTCAACTAAAAGTTTACATAACTATAACTCATAAAAAAAAAAAAAACAATTGCCATATTAACCTGCAGATGTTCCTCTAGGTAGCCCGTCACTAATAGCACGCACAGGAATCCACAAAACTGAAGTTATATTGCTTGCCCAGTCTGGCAACTCTATTTTACCATCACGAAGAGTCAACTGCTTAAATTCTTCAGCAACAGCAAAACCATCATTGCTAGCACCATCTGAGGAATCCAAGGCAACTGTATTCTGCGATGCATTGGCCTCCCTCTCAATTTCAATGATATGTGACTCCTCAATCCTCAAACCAGGACCAGTGTCAATCTGCAAGATGGCACCCTTAAGGGAGTAGTTGATCGGCCTTACTATTATTCCCAGCCACTGAGGTTCAGTCATTAGCAAAGCAGATGACACAGATGCAGCAAGATCAACCAGAGACCTCGGTTTGAACACCTAGAAATGAAAATCTGTTATTAGATGATTGAACAAAATTTTGGCCATTTAGCCACATAACACTTCAGAAGAAGTTTGGTGGGAGATGGAGACTATACAAGAAGAATATTAACCTGAGAATGTGTTTATCGGATTATAAGTAATTACTCTAGTTATCATTGCTACTCTTCACCATAAACATCGACACGTTTATTTAGTCTTAAGTTGAACAAGAGATACACTACCTTTAGAATAGTCTAGTTGGCTTCTTATAACTCATAAAATCATCGGTGTCTGCAGATCCAATATTAGTCTTAAGTTGAACAAGAGATACACTACCTTTAGAATAGGTCTAGTTGGCTTCTCATAACTCATAAAATCATCACTGTCCGCAGGTCCAACTTTTGAAAAACTATGAGATCTAAATCTCAATTGACCAATCTGCCCTGTAAGAACCCCCAAGACATAGGAACCTGGTTTCTGTGGGGGTAGGGAAAGGATGATAGTATTCTTGCCAGGATTTAGTATTGTAGCGCCAGAGCTCTTTATCGCCTAATAATCAGAGAAATAATCGATTTATTAGGAATGCTATAAGAGGCATACTATTAACAGCTGAACAAATACAAATTTGAGTAACTCTTGGATGACCAAGATAACATACCTTAACACCTTCATCAGCATTATCGGTTGCTGTAAGAGTGAGACTAAGTGATTCAAGAGTTATATCATCCGGAAAGCCACTCCAAACAATTACATATAAAATGCCGGGATCTCCATCACATAACTCCAACGGTGGCCCCGGAATGCCTGAAAATGTTACTAATGAAGACACATCTAGGGGCACAGGGTGCTTCATTTCACTATGTGCAAGATGAACAACTTCAGATTGAAAAGCTTGGCGTTCCTTGGTCAAGAACAAGCCTCTGTCTAGGGAGAGCAATTTCACACAAGATGCAAGGTAGCCAGCTTGGTCATTTAGTATCTTCTGACACTCTGCTAAATTAGGAAGGACTTCAGCCAACAAATCCTGCCATCCTTCACCAGCATAAAGAGCACAAACCTTCTCATATGACTTTGCAGCTAGATCAAAATTGCCACGCTTATAACAGACAGCTGCAATTTCACCATCAAGGACAACTCCATGTCTTTTCCACCATGAACGATGATAATTGTCAGCAGCACCCTTTGATAGTTCCAAATACTTTACCTGACATGAAGAAAATTCACAAATCCATACTTAAGAGAAACAGAGGAAGAAGCCCCTGCGGGAGTGGAGGTGGGGGCAACAAACAATGAACCTAAAATAAAAATAGTACCATACAACACTCTCTAAATACATCTTCATGTAAAAAGTAGGTAAAAATATGGAAACTCCACAATTTTCAAGAAAGTAAAATATCAAAGAAAAATAAATGCAAACTAAAGACAACAATTAATCGCAGCTTGACCCCTTTGGTCCAATAACTGAGCTACACAATAGGGGCTCCTCCACTGTCCAAACCCTCAAAACCCAAAAGAGGGCAGGATTTGATCTAGGATTCTGGTACGACAAGCTGCAGATTTGCAGCTAAGTTAGCTGGCACCTTCAATTTAGTCCAAGTCACGAATGCAAGATCACTAGACTTGTATAATAGGATCTTTCTGAATGTAGAGTTAAGGGTGGTCGTAGATCAGAATTAACGGAGGAAGGGGAAGCTCTTTCCTTATAGGCCCACTCTAATCTACACTCATCCATTCTTTTAGAATATTGAACATGAACAAAGAAAGGCATAAGAGAAAAGCACATTGGTTAGTGATTGTGAGGCCCCAATTCTTGAAAGTAGGGGACACCAAAGGCCTCTGCCCAGTTGATAGCTTTAGGGCTATCCAAAGTGCAAGATTATCAATTCTAATAAACTAAATCTAACTATATTCATTCAATAATTCACAAGTTATGATTATTTAATATGATTTGTCATATTAATTGCGTATAAAGTCATTAAATACAAACATGAATAATTGTGTATGTCAAGCATGAGATGCAGTCAAAAAGAAACCAGTAAAGCTAGAAAGCTACAAAACCCAAATGTCATCAAGTAAAAACAGGTAATATTTGTATATCTTGAGCATGAGATAAAAGTAAATACTGATAATACTTGCATATATTGAGCATGAGGAGCCATCAAAAAAATCCTGCAAAGCTAAAGAGCTAAAAAAATGTTTTTGAGCAGGAACTTCACATTTATAGTCTGCTATGTGAAATACCTCGAATTCCTCTATAGATGACAATGACTTGCAAAGATCAGGACCAGAAATTGTTTTCCGGAGAGCATGATCAGCAGCAACATATATTTCTGCTAGTCTCATAGGACGATCAATGGAGCTCTCAAAGTTCATAGGCGAAGAATTAGTTCGTGACATGGTAATAGCATGTATTTTAGCTGAAGGGGACATATTTGCATCCAAACCTGAGCTGTCAATCATAAAAACTTGATAAGAACTCCAGGCTATTGTATCCCTTGGAAGCAACTTAAACCAGCTCATTGGACAATTAAAGTCAAAAATTGAGGAAGGAACCCACTGGCCTGAGCCATAACAACCTAATCCCACCTCCACCCCATTCCCTCCCCCTGGAATAAGTTGATGCATTTCTTCCAAAATCATGTAGCATTACGTTCAATTCAATCTCTATATTTGCTTACCCATCAGTTAAACCTGAGCGCCCATCAAACATCTCAAACACATTTCCGGCAGAAAGAGAGGCCCTCCTCCGATTAGCCTCACGCAAAAGAACTGACGGTTCAAGAGGTAGGGGCTTCCTCTGGATACCAAAATGCTTAATCCTTGGAGTTGCTTGAAGAATCATCTGCACATATTTTAAAAAAAAAAAGAGTGGATTTACTAATGCATTAGAATAATGATAAAAAAACAGAAACAGGGATCAGAATTGACTGGCTGTTGAACATTTTTACCCAGATTGCTGACATAACATTTGGGATAAACAAAAGAAGGTTTGGATCTTCGAAAAACGTTCCCACTTAGAAGTCGCAATTGATTGTAGTGAAACACATTAATATCTAACTTCCCTCAAATTCGAACAAATTAGTCTACAGATACACAAATGTTGCTGGTTTATGTAGTTTAAACTTTATAAACAAGCAGAAGATAATTGGTAGCATGGTCCTTGACATCTAGGAATCAAAAGTGGAGCAGCTGAAAATGAGAATTCCCCAGCATTTTGCATCAATATTATTTGTAGTAAAAGTTTTATAGATGAGTTAGGTTCTTTATGTGTACTTGACTACTTTCAGTTCTGAGTCAATTCAGTCGCAATTTTATAGGCTGACATGGGGGACCAATGTGCAGGCGAGAACTCTTATGTCTTTGAATAGTGTACCCAATATGGTTTCATGTTAACATCTGATTAACCTTTTATACTTTCTAGTAATTGAAAAAGCACTTGTTACACACAATTTTCACTCACTAATATTGAAATGAAACAAGTCAATTGGTTGAGGTATCTTCAAAACAGGCACCAAAATAGTGGAACTAACCTTTTCTTTCGCAAGCACCTCAGATGAAGCATCAGGTGGAATTGTAGGCCAAACTGCAGGCTTAGGCCATGACAGCATGCTGAGTGAAGCACTGCTCAAAAGAAAGAGGAGACAGAGCAAAACAGAATATGTTTCAGAACTATGTGTAATTCTGGTGTGACTTTTTAAATTGCGTGTTGAATCATTTCTTAGATGTTTGTGAACACCCAAATCCAAAGTGAGTCCCAAATAGAATTGGTATGCAAAGTAGCTATAGCGATGTCATACCTATTGACAGGGCTTCTTTCTATTTCCGATCCATAACCAATCAAATATGCAAGCCTCATGAACTGCCATATCGATGAATACTCTTCAGTAAACAGAAATTTCTGGTAGCAAACTTTTAATAAGAAAAAGTGAACAGAATGCATGATACTATTTATTTAGGGTTTTAAAAAGAAAGGATATTGTCATGTAATTCATGTCAAAGAAAACCATGCCAAAATGACAATTGTGCGAAATATTGAACTGATTTGATTACTTCCATGGACTAACTAATTTCGTGGCCCCCATGCATTTACCCACAAAACATGGAGAAGTTTACCTTAATTCGGGACAGAGAATAAAGATCCCCCTGAACCCGGTAAAAGTCTTTTTCTATATCAGGCGCCACAAGTCCATCACTATAATGAGAAGTAGTAGTGTCGATTAAACTCAAGCAAGCTGTTATCATCCAACCTTCCCGCATGCAGAAAGGCAACACATTCTGGAAAGAACCCCGCAAAAGGAAAATAGGAAGAAGGATCAAAATCAATACTCAATGGACTAAGGTAATATAAGCACAAACAGTACAGTGGGCAAATATGAGAAAGACTGTCAAATACCTCATGCAGGGCCAATGCTTTTGAGAAGCTAATTATAAACGAATAACCCCTTGAAGAAACCTCAAAAGGACGATTTAGCTTAAATAATAGCTGCAAAGTCAACATGTATTAGAAAGGGGCACAACCGAAACATGATTACAGACAATTAGAATCCTTAAAAAAAGGTATGAGAAAAGGACAAACATTTGTAAAGCAGTGTATAGAAGTCCATTCACAATTTCAGACTGCTTGACAATTCAATCTCCTTTTCGTAATTTCATGAATTAGAAAAGGTCCTCTTATATTTTGAATATGCAGAGTTGCCACTATAACAATGATTTTTGGGGACCAGGATTTTGCAAATTAAACATCCATTACCACTTCAATGGTTGCTGTTTAGGATTCACAACAGTAACTACCTGACCACTAGATGAGACACCCATAAAATCAGACAAGAATCTTGTCATCTTGGGGCATGTATAGAACTTGGCAAACAAATGAGAGAGAGAGAGAGAGAGAGAGAATATATGGTCTTTTAAAAAACCCAACCACTCCTCCAAGATTGACAGCAGGATACTCAGATAGTTTTCTGTCAAATTGATTGTTATCCAAGTTAAACCACAGTTTAGTTATAGTTTGCTGGGATATGCCAAGCACATTTGCAATCAAGTCCAAATAATGCATCTGATNGAGAATATATGGTCTTTTAAAAAACCCAACCACTCCTCCAAGATTGACAGCAGGATAGTCAGATAGTTTTCTGTCAAATTGATTGTTATCCAAGTTAAACCACAGTTTAGTTATAGTTTGCTGGGATATGCCAAGCACATTTGCAATCAAGTCCAAATAATGCATCTGATAGCAAATTAAGCAGTCAACTGAATAATATGTATCAGACTATCAGTTACCAGAGTGAGTTAATATGTGAAACCTAAATGCAATAAAGTTCCCATATATGAAGCAAATATAAATTATTCATGCGAAATAAACTATGTCATATCATCTAAAACCATCCCAAGTTAATCACTACTCACTCTNATTAATATGTGAAACCTAAATGCAATAAAGTTCCCATATATGAAGCAAATATAAATTATTCATACGAAATAAACTATGTCATATCATCTAAAACCATCCCAAGTTAATCACTACTCACTCTTGCACACCTTTGCTTGACATGCAAACAGATATTGTCTGAACTCAAATTCCCTAAATGAATCATCTTGAACAATCTGGGTCAATGGTTTCTTCCCCGGGTTCAGCAATGCAGCCTGATCATCACCATGGTCCACTCCTCCAAAGTCCCTCTGTTTCCCTGTCATATTAACTGCAATACAGAGCAGAGAGAAAGAGAGCGAGAGAGGTTTAATCATCACTCATACAGCAAATACATTACTATAAAAAAATCAATGTACTGATATCACCTTAAGAGAATGCACATTACAATTAGAAAAGGAGGTTATAGAGGATGTTGCACAGAGAATTAGAAAGAGATGGACATAAACAAAGCTGTAATATTTTGTGGTGTGACAGATGCATTTCATTTGAGAAGGAAATATGAAAAAACAGGAAAATATTGCAAGAACAAGGAGCTTAGTATTATAGGGCTACATGAGAGGTTTCAGTTAGAAAGATTGTGTTAGGAAAGCTGAATGCCAAGCTACAAAGAAGCAACAAGTTTCCATACAGTCAAACGGAACATAAGTACAGGCCAAGTGGCTACAGGACTGGGAAGTTCACTGAGATGGTTTAGTCACCCAATGAGAAAGAATGATTGCAATAACAAGTAGAAATATGGTTCTAATTAAAGACATTGCAAGTTGTTGGGAAGGTTAAAAAGAACGTGGTTTTTAATGTCATAATGATGAGTTAACTGAGAGCTCACAAATAGAAGAAACTATGGCCCTGATGACATATAGGAGGTAAGTAAGTGCAAAAAGTTGAGAATGGTAAGATGGATTGCTTATTTTCCATTAGGTGAAAAAAAATTACTTCCCCTCAAAATTACATATACCTGCATGTGTCAAGAGCAAAACATCAACTAGCTACTTTGCTAGAAAAGAAGTCTCTTTTTTCGTGAGCATTAGTGCATGTCATAGAAGACAAATTATAACAGATTAACAGAACAAACAGTTTTAGCATATACTGTTGTTTTAGAGATGAGGGATAGTACTGTAATTTCTTAGATTCTATTTAATACAAAATAAGGGAAAAGGATGAGTCTAACGACTCAAAAAAAAAACCCGATTTTTATATTTCACTTTCTTTTTCCTTTTCTTTTCTTCTCTTTTCTTACTCTTCCTCAACAATAGTTCTACAAACAATTTTTTAATGTGCAAGAATGATTGCGAGAATGTTAACAATCTATTTGTGCATTGCTCGATTGCGTTGGATATATAGAATAAATTGTTCAAGATAAAGTGGGGCATTATTGGGTGGCTCCAAGTTATATATCAACAATTTTATGTCGATTTTAACAGTTTTGGAATGAAAAGCAAATGAGTTACTCTTTGGGATTGTGCAATGTTTGCCACTAATTGGGTAATTCGGTTGGAGAGTAATGAAAGAATCTTTCAAGATAAGTACGAGGTGGTTGAAGGGTTATGGACACGAATCAACTTTTCAGTAACTGTTTGGGCATCAGTTTTTGAAGGAATTTGCAAATACACCTCTTTTTGAAATTTCTGCTGATTGTGACTTGTAAATTACCATAGATTTTGTTTCTATATTATTTTCCTCTTTTTTTCTTAGCATTATGGACGACAACTTGTCACTGTTGATCTCAATTTGTACTACATCCTTTATGTTTTTAATAGAATTTGTGTTTCCTGTCGACCAAAAAAAAAAAAATTCTACAAACAATTACTCTCATGCACTAATACATTGTATAAGAGTGAAGTGTTCTAGAAAATTTCTAAATTTCAAAGGGGAAGTTTTTGCAGGACGAGAGCCAAAAACATTGTACATTACATTGTGAGATTACTCTATATCAACTAAAAGCATGTTGTGCTTCCTGTTAGTTGTCNCTAACGACTCAAAAAAAAACCCGATTTTTATATTTCACTTTCTTTTTCCTTTCTTTTTTCTTTTCTTTTCTTCTCTTTTCTTACTCTTCCTCAACAATAGTTCTACAAACAATTTTTTAATGTGCAAGAACGATTGCGAGAATGTTAACAATCTATTTGTGCATTGCTCGATTGCGTTGGATATATAGAATAAATTGTTCAAGATAAAGTGGGGCATTATTGGGTGGCTCCAAGTTATATATCAACAATTTTATGTCGATTTTAACAGTTTTGGAATGAAAAGCAAATGAGTTACTCTTTGGGATTGTGCAATGTTTGCCACTAATTGGGTAATTCGGTTGGAGAGTAATGAAAGAATCTTTCAAGATAAGTACGAGGTGGTTGAAGGGTTATGGACACGAATCAACTTTTCAGTAACTGTTTGGGCATCAGTTTTTGAAGGAATTTGCAAATACACCTCTTTTTGAAATTTCTGCTGATTGTGACTTGTAAATTACCATAGATTTTGTTTCTATATTATTTTCCTCTTTTTTTCTTAGCATTATGGACGACAACTTGTCACTGTTGATCTCAATTTGTACTACATCCTTTATGTTTTTAATAGAATTTGTGTTTCCTGTCAACCAAAAAAAAAAAATTCTACAAACAATTACTCTCATGCACTAATACATTGTATAAGAGTGAAGTGTTCTAGAAAATTTCTAAATTTCAAAGGGGAAGTTTTTGCAGGACGAGAGCCAAAAACATTGTGAGATTACTCTATATCAACTAAAAGCATGTTGTGCTTCCTGTTAGTTGTCCAAAATTCCCAACAATTTTTCATGGAGAAAATAAATCTATTTACATTAGCAGCTGAATAACCAAAACGATTAGCTTAACTATATGCATTGGGCACCTGTTTCCAAGTAACAGAGTTCTAGTTCATCGTATTCACGTAATGAGTCTTCATGGAGATGAGCCATCTCAAACATAAACGCCAAGCTTTCCTGTAAACAGAAAATTAAAATTTTACATAAAAAACACAGAAATATAATTAGGGAATAATTGTACTGTAAGGCAGAACGGATACAAATGACTTTCCAAACTTAGGCCTTTCATCCAAGTTAAGCAGCAAACATGTTCCATCTTTCCTATAGGTTCAATCCATAAGCGACAAATATAGAAGGTCTTATAATGATATGCCAACCAACAAAAGCTGAACATTAAAAACACTAAGCAGGGAAAACAACATCCTATAGGTCATTATGCAGACAGACAATAAGTTTGTTCTTTAACTAAAGAAAAAGAAAATAAGTTTATTGACAAATCTACCTTTAGTATGAAAAAGTTACAAAAGTTCCAAACTGGCATAAACCGCTGATCACTGAGCTTGCGGATCTCATCCTCGTAGAATTGAATCCGCCTATCAAGAGTGTTTCTAATGGACTCCATGAGTTTAGATTCTAAGTCTTCCCAAAAATTTGCTTCAGGACCTTGTATGTCTAGTTTGCAGCACCTGAGTTCAGCAGTAATTCAAAACATTAGAGAAATGAACAAATCTTTTTCACAGAAAGCCACACATACTACAATATCTGAATACAAATCTGGTAGTTTTACATTTCATGAAGTCTAGTAGATTCTTTATTTGTTCAGACTACACCATAGAAAATTACGTAAGTCAATATCTGATCCTTTCGATCAAACCAGGCCAAACTCATAAGAGACTCAAATACAATAAAAAAATAACTTCTGGATTAAAAAGACACCTCACGTGTTGCTGAGGCTAATGACAAACTAAAAAGTAATTTAGGGAGAATAAGGAACTTTCAGAGATCCAGTGACAGCGAAGGGGTTAACTACATGGAGTAGAAGCACATTAAGACAAAGTAGATGGTGGCAAGAACGACGCCACTTTCTCAGAAATAACTTATCTTTCACTGTATCCCTCTAACATTATATCATTTTGATGAAGCTAACCATCTTCACCTTTTAACAATATAGCAAAAACTAATCAATGATTTGATGCTTTTTTGTACAAGAAAACTCCTCTGACAGAAAGACACTTCAGCTGATTACATGATACATAAGCTAGAAGATCCAAACAAATATCTAACACACCATGGTATCTGGTCAAAGGCACTTATAACAGTCCAGAACTAGTATTTAGCTTACCTTTCCCTCTTCTTTGAGCTGAAATCCACTTCAAGTTTGGCATATACTTTTTTTGCCATCTTGGTGGCCTGATCATTATGGGGTGGAGCCTTTGACACAAACACAATAAACCACTCCCGTTCCTCATTTTGAACTATTAACTTCAGGCGTGGTTTAAGGATAGTCTTGAACTCATCAAGATCCTATGCAAGAGGGAAAAGAAATGGCTGTAGTAGAACAGAAAGTAAAGAAAAACTACGTAAACACAACAATACGAAAGAAAGCGAAAGAAGATTGCCACAAGTCAAATCATAACCAGCACTTAACGTCTGACTTTACTTATTAGGACTGGTCAAGTTAAGGAAGCAGAACCAGACACCTCAGACTTAGGAGTCCATGGGTGATTGTGCATAGGCAGTAGGTAATAGTCCAGACTCAAATCAAGGTGTCAGAAACTTTAGCATTACTCCAAGACATAAATAAATAAACCTGTATTTTGTTCCACTATATATCTAACATAGTATACCATATAAAAACTACTCCTGAGCAACAAGGCAGAAAGGACCTGGGTTCAATTCCTTTCCGATGGAAAAGGAGGAAAAGTTAATAAGTGAGATGGTTGAGATAGAGAGAGAGGGTCATGTCCTCTTAACCAGAATTGGCAAAAAGTGATTCCAAGGTGCAGTCTGATAGTAGAATAGCAGCATAAACCCTTGGCAAAATAAACCCAAGATTCAACCCAAAATCTTTCTTAAATTTCCTACCTCAGAACAGACCCATTATTATACCACACTGCATTATATTAGATATAGCTGCAGGTTCGTTTTGATTTCAACAAATGAACATCTCCTAGCTATAATTTCAGACAAAAAGTGTGTTGGGCCATCAGTCCGCAAGAGAAGCACAGGAGCACTAATTCAAAATTTAGATGATGATGAGGATAGTAAATTTATGATATATCATAAAAATTGATCCAACTCAATATGTGGCTTCCACATATCTACCCCACTTCACTTCCTGACCATTGAAACAATACGTGTTACATTACACTAGAGAGTCTTAAACATTCAGGAGGGTTTTGAACAGATTCAGGAAAACCTGAACACATGATGGCTTTGGAGCAAATGAAAACCAGGCAGATCTAGTCCAGATCAAATTTTCAAGAACTGTATCATCACCATCATAATTTCTAAGGTGCATCAGGCAAGAAATATAATGATCTAGGTTGAAACGATGGTTTCTAAAACCCATTGCTTCCAACGGGTCACAAGGTACAGCAACAATATTGAATAAAACCTCAGTTCCAAACATGCAAATCTTGTAAAAAAACACTAAAAGGTTAATAAACAATTCACACAAGTGCATGAAGAGGCTGCAATCACCTTGTCCACCACCGTGTGGGATTTTTGTTTTGTTTTTTTCCTGATGTGCAAAACAAATAGTGAAAGGTTGAATCGATGACATTTACCTCACAAGTTACAAGAACCACTGTTGCATATGGTTCTCGGAACCAAAATAACGATTGCTCCTGATGAAATCGACTACGTAGCCTTGAATCAGTTGTCAAAATATATTCGGCACGCAGTTTCTCCACAAAGACAGGATTCCGTGTCTTGTTATTCAAACAAGCTCTTTCATATGGTAATCGTTCTTCAAACCCCTTCTTGACAAGGGGCCACAAATCGCTTACATCTTCAACTGCAAATCAAATGATAGTAAAATGAAGAGATTTGAACATAGAGCAAGAGAAACATCAAGAGACAAACACAATTTGTATGAAATGAACCAAATCCTCCTTTTTCTAGGTTAATGTGAAACAAAGCTATTTCACAACTGTATGCAATATTTTCTAATCTAACTGGGGTTATCCAGAATACTTGCATGAAATAAAATAAGATTTTCTGCAAACAAATCAAGATTTAAAAGGCAGCAATTTGAGCCTTCTGGCTTTATTAACTGTCCACTAAAAGGTTTAATCAAAAGAATAAACCACAATTTCATGCATCTTCCATCGCATTAAGGCTATAGCACTATACAGTAAATAAGCTAAAAGCAGAAAGTGAACTTTGCCTCAAGAGCAACAACAATGATGAAAATTGCAAATCCCTAAGATAAAAAATGCCACCACCTACACTATATTTTTGGCTTGTAAATAAATTGCTTGAAACCAGTCCAATACACAATGCTTCAATAATTTTTATTTTTTCCTTTTTTGGCATAAATTTCCAATGGATCTAAAGAATACCTATGAAACTGAACAAAAGATATGTTTCAATTTCGGAAACATCCCTAGGAGAAAAGAAACAAGAATGTCGCTAAATAGCTCCACAGGAGACAACCCAATCAAAACGAGAAGTACACAAGACAGGCAACCTAGATGCTCGAGCTGAAGTCAGCCAAAGCAGCATTTGAGCAGCAAAACGGCATATGCAAAACTAATATAGTGGATCAAACCATCCTCTTCCAAGAAACTTCAAAAGCATATAATTATCAGGGTGAAGGTGAACTTCAAAAGTAGATGGGAGCACAAAACTGTAAAAAAATCAGCAATTTCTATNGAGCTGAAGTCAGCCAAAGCAGCATTTGAGCAGCAAAACGGCATATGCAAAACTAATATAGAGGATCAAACCATCCTCTTCCAAGAAACTTCAAAAGCATATAATTATCAGGGTGACGGTGAACTTCAAAAGTAGATGGGAGCACAAAACTGTAAAAAAATCAGCAATTTCTATAGATTAAGCGTTTTATTTGCATTTTCACTTCGAATCATACTCTCAAAAATCGGATACAGACACTGTTTCTAAAATCAAATAGATAGCCAACTGAGATGCAATTTTGTGCCGGATTCAAAATGTAAAATGAAATTTCGACCTGAAATTAGGGCCAGTCGCTAGAGAAAGGTGAGTATTATACCAGCAATGATGATGTGATCGCAAGAGTTCTTGATTGACTGAAACTGAGCTAAGAAATTGGCCATGATCGATCAGCCACAACCATGTACAAAGCAGAGATCGGAGAATTGGAAGCCGAACTATGAAGCCAAACAAACAGTTGAGGATGAAGCTTATGCCCCCCAAAAGGCTTGAATTGGGGAGAGAGAGAGAGTAACAGTGTTGGAGCCTTGGAGATGTATCGGCCAAGTTTTTAACTCTGCGTGTTGGAGTGTTGTTTTTCCAGTACGGCGTAGTCGATTTCGAAGATTTCCTCCGTCGATGTTGGGATTTACGGACCTGTGACTTGGTGCATCGCGGCTTATAATGCTCGATGTATGGGACTTCTCATCACCGCAACATGGCTACTTGCGTACCCCGGAAGGCTGGTGTGTGGTGTTTGTCTGGATGACAATGCTATCCAACAAACAAGCAAATACATCAAATATACACAATTATTTTGTGTTATTGTACTCCATCAAATAATTATATTTTTTATTAAACTATAAATTATCATATATTTTATTGTTAATTTATTTAAAATTTAATTTTAGTCTTCATAGTTACCATCAATAATTATCACACCACTCTTTTTCACTGGTGTAGTTGTCTATTAATATGTCTGAATTTAGACAAACTTGTCAATTTTATCATAATTCAAATTTTATTTAATTTTTATAGTTTAGATGAGTTTATTTAAAGTTATTTAAGTCTTTATAATTACTGTCAATAATTATCACACAATAATCNTTAGTTACCATCAATAATTATCACACCACTCTTTTTCACTGGTGTAGTTGTCTATTAATATGTTTGAATTTAGACAAACTCGTCAATTTTATCATAATTCAAATTTTATTTAATTTTTATAGTTTAGATGAGTTTATTTAAAGTTATTTAAGTCTTTATAATTACTGTCAATAATTATCACACAATAATCAACTTAGACCTTATTTTATATATTTGGATTAAAAATATCACAACCCAAATTACTGATACTTCATGATTTTGGAATATTGTATGCAAGTTCAAATGCATTTTTAAATAACTATTAGGGATAGTTTAGTGGTGGGGTCTGACTTTTAGTAGTCCAAATGACTTAGGTTCAATATTTTTCCACACTCCCTAAAGGTTAGTCACTTTTAGGGATATGCACTAACCTAACTCAAGTTACATAGTTCAACTCCTAAATTTGAGGTATTAGTCGGAACAAANGGTGGGGTCTGACTTTTAGTAGTCCAAATGACTTAGGTTCAATATTTTTCCACGCTCCCTAAGGGTTAGTCACTTTTAGGGATATGCACTAACCTAACTCAAGTTACATAGTTCAACTCCTAAATTTGAGGTATTAGTCGGAACAAATTTAAACATCATGTAACAATATACATATATAATATTTCAAATGGCTCAACCTTATTCGTATAGATGGTGATGGATATAGCATTTGGAAAAAGGTTCTATTTATCTAATATTACAACCAATAATGTGAATCATACATTCATAAAAATATAATAATAGTTGAGATTAATTCAGTTTTCCTCTAATATCATTTAATCGTATAAAAATTATTAAAAAAATCACCGCAAAACATCATTTTCTCGGTCTAACCTCTAATATTAGATAATTCAATAAATATATTTATCTAATATTACACCTAACAAAATGAATTACACATTTATAAAAACACAATAACATTTGAGATTAATTATGAACCCCGGCTATGTATTTCATTACAATTAATTTTGAATAATGTGGAAGTAAACTATTTTACAAGTTTTGAGGTAATAAGTGTGATTATCTGAAACTTTGAATGGGTTTAGTTTGAGATATGTCGAAATTAAGACAAGTTAATTGTCATACATGATGTAATATTTAAGTTACAAGAGTGGAATTGAATTAAAGTTAATAAGATTGGGGTTGAATTATAATTATTGAAGTTATTGAGAAAAAATGTTATAGGAGTAAATTATAAGAGTCAAATTCTTTAAAGGGTGAAAATTATATTTTGGCATTAAAACATTTTATGACCAAAATGAAAATACTACAAAAGAATGAAGATGTATTTATAAATAGGCCAAATATATAAAAGGAGATGAAGGTATCGATGGAGACATCTCTTGGCAGACGTTCTCTACTATTCTATACACACTCTCACTCTCCGTTGTCACTTCAGGAGTACTAAAAGTTGAAATTTCTTCTAATTTTTCTTAGGGATTTGCTAAAATTTTGTTGTGGAACTTTTATTAGTTAGATCGGAGGTCTTTTGGAAGATAAAATATTTAGTATTTGGCGGGTATCAGACTGTCATTAACAATTGATACTCAACATGAATCAAGAGATATTATTTCATATTCTGTACTTGACAGGTACCAGACTGTCATTGACAACTTGTACTCAGCACCAATCAAGAGATGCCACCTCAAGATAGACTCTCCTTCAATTTTTCTATGTCCAAGTACAAAATATGAGGTGACATCTCTTGATTGGTGCTGAGTACCAATTGTTAATGACAACTTGGTACTTGCCAAAAACAAAATATTTTCTCCTTTTGGAAAGATAAGCACTTCTTTTTTTGTTGTTCAGATTTTCATTTGTTGAATTTCATGGTTGCATGCATCTAGTTAAGGGTTGTATTGGCTATAACATATCTCATCTTGTTATACTTACTTCATTGGATTACTTACATATTAGTTGCTCTAAATTTGTTTTGGATGATTAAAAGATAGTGGAATATTGTTGGGAGGGTTTTGATTCTTTTTGGAGTAGATTTGAGTGGGTTTTAGTTCATGGGTAGAATAATAAATATGGCGGTAGTAATCTAATTTTTGTTGTATAGATTATACATCTGATAGAAAAATGGTGATATCTAAAAAAATCGAATTCATGCACCATTTTTTTTAGAACACAGCTTCATAGATCTTTCTAATCATATATGGTACAAAATCTAATTTTATTTGTGTGAAACTAGCGTCTGTTTGAAGTTAATTGAAATGTTGTGATTGATGAAAAAAAAAGCTTAGTACCTTTTTAAACAAGTGAGCATAATTCTTTACATGAAACTCCAATTTTAGCTCATGACCTATGGTTAAAATGCTAAGGAAGTCTAATTTATAATTAACTTAATCTCTTGTTAATTTTGTGAGAATAAAATACTATTTTAATTATCTTTGAGCGATGTGTTTGTCTAACACTTTCACGCATGTTAAGTGTTCAACTAAATATTTAAACTAAGGGAAGGATTGGAAATGAAGCTAAAGCGACCCGATTAAATTGTATTAAACATAATATGAAATAAAGGTGACAAATAAATGAAATTATCGATAATTATTTACCTATGGTGAATTTGCCTTGTCGTTGGTTGGGACAACAACAATGATCTATATACTGTTTAGAAGTAATGAGTTATATGTCTAACATTAATAGTTGTAGGGTTTCTTTCATTATTTTACATTGGAATATGTATTTATGGTAGGCTTTATGGTTAAAATGACTATTGGGTTGGATAAGACGATGATTGAGAGAATAGAATTCACGGAATAGTCCAAAATTTCTTTTAAGAACCTGAGTTGTAATGAATATGAAATGTCATGAAACATAGTCTTATGCATTCACTTATATTTTTTTTGGGAGTAATTTTAGAGTCGATGCACAATTATATTTGTACATATAAAAATTGTTAAGGTCGAAAGCTACTATATCAATTCTACCTAGGGATCGATATAAAACAGAGTGGTGTGTTAGTTGACTATGACAAGTGAAATGTATTGCTTTATAATAATTAAAAATAAAAGTATATGATATATAAATTATTTTTATTATGTAAAATGAAGTTGTGATGATTTGGTTTATGTTGAGTTGAGAAAATAATCGATCAAATATGTTTTGTTGTAAAACTTTGTAGTTTATTGATAATCTTGTGATTTAAGTAGTATTTACAGTGTTAGAGTTGGTGAATAACTTAACATGACTTACATGTTATTGATTTGGACACTATACAGTTGTCATGAAATAGGTTGACATTGCGCAATTGTTGTGAAATAGCTTCACATTACTTAAATATTGTTGATATCTTGACATTACTTAAATGTTGTTGCTGTCTCAGAGTACATGTTGACTATTTATTATATTTATATTTTTGCAATGATTTGAGATTACAAAGTTGGTTGAAACACTTTGCTTTTGTCGTTCTCTTCAGATTGTGAACATATTTTCGTGGAATAGTATTTGACTCATATTTTTAGTGTTTTCATTTATTATTATACGTAGTACACCGAAAACATACTTGGTTTTAGAAAGTTAAAGTTTAAAGTTAGGTCCATTATAGCACTAGTAAAATCGAGATGAGAGGCTAAAGAAACTGATTGTGTACATATTATATAGGAGTGTCTGTTCCCTTAAATTTCCTAATATTTTGCTTTGCTTTAAATCACTCTGTTATTTATCCTGTTATACAATTTATCTATTCTATGGAATTATTAGGTGACAACATTAGTTCTAATATCTTTATCCAACCACACTTTATTTCTATTCAACCAAATTGTCAATGCCAACACAAAAATAAAACCAATGTGGTCGGGCCCATTATTTTTAGAAACCACCACCATACAATTTTGAATTGTCAAAGTCGACCCTAGCGGCACAAAATATTATTTTCTCTGCCAAAAACATTATTTTCTTTGCACGGTTTTCAATTTTAAACAATTCAACTAATACACTTCTCGGTTAAAAAAATAAAATTAATATACTTCTCAATACTAGATTACCCCCACTAGTCTACACCTATCTTGTTTATTTTTTATCTATTCAATTTAATTATAAAATTTTAATTTTTAAAAATAAAAAATAAAATAAAAAATATTATACGATCAATCCTCAATTTTTTGTGATGTATTCAGTTTAGGCGCAGATTTTTGGCTAGTCCAGGTTGGGATAACTTTCTTTCTTCCAAACATCGGGTATTATTTTTGGGCCAGGCCGAATAAAGGGTGAGCCCAGCAGGGGTAGTACGGACATTTTATATCAAGCAACCATACAAAAATCCAGCAGAAACACAGCAGATAGGATTTGGATGAGGCGCGCCAAAATCTCTGCAATACCGACTACCGCCCATGTCGCTTCCTTTGTACTCCGCCATATTCTCTCATCGGTTGTCTATTAATGCCTCTGTCACTCCCTGTGTTCCAAGGAGAGATTTTCTGTCTAACGATTTTTCGTTGCGGTTCAATCGAATTCGTAGAGAAGATCATCCAACAAGCTCAGCTCTCAACAAACTCACTCGCATTTTGGCGAAGAAGGACGCTTCAACGGTTAGTTCAATTGTACTCAGTTTTCTTTCTTTTTTTTTTGCTACCAGGGTTTGCGAAGTTGATCCTTGTAGTGAATAAGAATCTTG